TTATTTTCGTGGAGGGCTTATTTTCGTGGAGGGCTTATTTTCAGGGGAGGGCTTATTTTTGGGGGAAACAGGGTAGCACTTATGTTTATATGATGCTTCACAGTGCTTTACAGTCCTCTCTAAGCAGTTTACAGAGTCAGCCTATTGTCCCCAACAATCTGGATCCTCATTTTACCGACCTCGGAAGGATGGAAGGCTGAGTCAACCTGGAGCCAGGGGAGATTCAAACTGCCAAACTGCTGGCAGCGGGTGATCAGCACAAGTAGCCTGCAGTACTGCACTCTAACCACTGTGCCACCCCGACTATATTATAGATAGTCTTCAACTTATGACCATTCATTTAGGAACCATTCCAAGTAACAACAGCAATGAAATAAGTGGCTTACAAGTTACAGTAACTTATGAATGTTGCAGCAGCACTGCAGTCATGTGATCACAATCCAGGTGTTTGGCTTGTACTTATGACAGTGTCCTGCAGTCATGGGATCGTCATTTGTAATCTTTCCAGCTGGCTTTCCACAAGCAAAGTCAATGGGGAAGCCAGCAGGGAAGACTGCAAGCCACAGTCATGTGACATCTCGCCTAATGACCAAGAGTGAGTTGTGTAATGTCCCCATCAAAAAAAGCTGTAAAATCGGAAGCGGTCTTCTACTGCCTCACTTAATGACCATATCACTGAACATCAAATTTTCTGTCCCTGTTGTGGCCATAAATCAAGGACCACCTGTAGGATAAATACTGCCAAGGTATTTAGTGAAGTTACTGTATGGTCATAGCGATAAAAATCTGCAGAATATTTTATGCAGAAACTATTCTTCCGAATGCCATCCAAAAGAAGAACAGGTGGGGTTGTTCAGGTAGCTTTCTAGAGAAGGCTTTCATAAATGCTTACCTCAATCATCTTTATCCAACCCTTGTGGTTTTCAATACAGATATTCCTCGACGTATGACCACAACATTTTATGTTGCTAAGCGGAACAGTGGTTAGGTGAATTTTGCCCCGTTTTATGATCTTTTTTGCCACAGTTGTTAAATGAATCACAGCAGTTGTTAAGTTAGCAACCCAGTTGTTAAGTGGACGCGGCTTCCCCACTGAGGTCACTTGTCAGAAGGTCGCAAAAAGGGATCAGATAACCCCGAGACACTACAACCGTCAGAAATATGAGCCAGTTGCCAAGCATCTGAATTTTGATCACATGACCATGGGGATGCTGCACCAGTGTTAAAAACAGTCACAAGTCACTTTTTTCAGTGCTGTTGCAACTTTGAACGGCCATTAAACAAACTGTGGTAGGTCAAGGATTAACTGTAAAGCATGATGGGAAACCTTGAATATTTACCAATGTTAATACAATACAATACAATAC